CTTTTATTTTTGTATTGGAAACAAATGTTGACAGGTTACATCATTTAACTGAAACGTCACACTGAGGAAATGTTTTTTTCTTTTATTAGCTGATTTCAATAAATGTCCAACAGAACAAGTAACGACCATAATTTGCATTTCAGGCGCTTTATTTCACCTTCAGAATAAAAGCCCCGCAGTAACAGCTTGCTGCCAGTAGGAGGTGTGATGTTCCACCAATGGAGAGACTCCTTTTAACAAGCCTGTGTCATGTCAGGTCAGGTGTGTGTGTGTGTGTGTGTGTGTGTGTGTGTGTGTGTGTGTGTGTGTGTGTGTGAAATCAGGCACAATAAAAGTCAATTACTTATGAAGATTTCAATCATTAGGAATATTAAACATCTAATATCATCATCTAATAATGTCGCGTGGAACCCGTGTAGCTCCAAATTGCCCGAGTTTTCATTAGCTGAGAAAGACCTGCTCACTCCTGGAAATACATTTTTCAGTTAACATAATGACTTTTAAAATAATTGATTCTAATTAAGAGGAAGGAGAATTTTCTCAACCCGTAGAGGAACCATTATACTCTGAATTAATTTTAATAATTTAGTGATGCATGCTTTACAAGTGGTAAAATAAAGACGTCTAATACAACATTAGATATGTGGCATATCCTAATATCACTATTTGCATGACTGCAGTTTAATTCCTGCTCACAGATGCTACACGGCACTTTTCTACTTATTTGTTTTAAAGATTATTGATTGAGTGATGATGCCTCATGTTAATGATCAGGATTATAATGGAGGGATTATGTCATTTAGATGAGCACTGATGACTGTAACGATTATTACCGGTGAGGGTGCTGACTTTATAAATGTATATTGATGAAGATGACAGTGTGAACCCCTCTTACATTCAAAACTGAAAACATTAGCGAGGTACACGTGGATTGGCTGAATTTGTAATTGGCTGGAGAGTGTACATGTTTGTCCACAGATTCACAGTCAACTGCATAAAAGTGACGGAGCTGCAATCAGTCGGAGCTCATTTTAGATCCTCGTCAGCTCAGAAACATATTTGGGTGCAGAAGTAATAACAAGCTTCACAGTTTTCTCAGTGCAGCTGCTCTAAACACACTCATTCATGCACATTTTAACAAATTAGCTAAGGCTAATAGTGAAGCCTCATTAACCAAAACATCATCTGCGCTCACATAAACTCACTCGATGTTGTGGTGTATCTGCACAAGCACTCAGTTTGATGTGAAACCTCATCAGCACCTGTTCAGTAAGAGAACGGGAGGAGTACAAATCAGACTAACTGCAATAAGAGTAATGCTTCAGTTTAAGTCACTCTTGTTCCTGCAGATTCTACTGAGTCTATTAAAGAATCTATTAAACGAATCTCACTGCGGTCTGCTTTTCTCTGCTGGTGAATATTCTTTTATTCATTTGACTCGTCAGATACCCCTGCAGATACTTTTGTCCCTTCTGACACTCCGTACAAAGAAAGTGTGCGGGGAATCCAGAGGAGCTGTCCGGACCCGCGTGGTGCTGAAACCGTCAGCTGGAAGGTTCCTCTCGGGTTCCTCAGCAGAGCTAGACTTAACCGAACAATTAAAAGACATTTCTGAGTCATTCGCAAGAAATATCCTTTAATTGTAAGGTCACGTGTAGCAGTCTTGCACGCAGGGTGGCAGCCATCCACAGTCCGTCACAGCCCTGGTTCACCTGGAATGACATCGGGGGAGAGGTCATGACGTCAGTGTCACAGTCAGTGGTTTCAAGTCACCAGAAAACTCGCAGAGTGACGCGTGCAGTGGAGGCATCCTCCCCACGGTGCGAGAGAGCCGCAGCTTCAGGGCTGCTGGGAGACACTCACCTGCCTTAATCACTCCTCTCCCTCGCAGCGTGTCTGTGCCACGGTGCGTCCACGCATAAACAAAAAATAAAATAAAACCAAACCCCACGAGTCTCCGCGTTTGGATCTTCCCCGCTCCGTTTCTGTAGAGCCTCCACTCGGCGCTGGGGGAAGATTTTACGCACGCTGCGACGCCCAAAACCTGTGTGTGTGACACCCGGAGCTCTGAGTACGTCACGGGTTACAGGTGTTGCGGTTGCGGTTGCGAGGGAACCGCTTGAAAGAGGAACTTGTTTGGTTTTTAGGGTGGTGTAAACCTCCGACAGTGCCCAGCGCGTCACCCACGACCTATCCAAGCCGCCCGGAGGAAGCGCAGATCCGCGCTGCTGCTCCACTCCAACACATTCATTCATACAAACCCACGCAGACCCACGAGAAGCACGAGACGTTTGCGACAGAGGAGCCGCGTGCTCTTCGTCTTTCTGTCACCAGAGAGCAAAAAGAAAAACGCGACACATCGCGCGGGTCTTGGATTTACGCACGGACACCGCGGTCAGAGTCACGCTACGTGACCGAAGACACGCGGGCAGCACGGCCACCGCAGCGGCCGCGGAGTGTCCGTGAACTCCGGACGGAGGGATGAGCGCGCCGGGCTGTCTCGAGTTCATCACCGGCTCCACTCGATAAAGACAAATAAAAGCGACCCACGAGTCACGAGCCCACTTGCCACCAAGCCAGAGTCCAGGGCGCCACCACCTCCGCACGTCTCCTTCGCGCTGCGCTCTCATCCATCCCTCCATATCCATCTCCAGCCCTCGCCTCTCTTTTCTCCGGTCGGGCTTACAGCGCCGTAGATAGAGGCTCCGCAGTCACGTGGGTCGGAGGAGAGGAGAGAAGGACCGAGAGAGAGCGAGAGAGAGGGAGGGAGAGAGAGAGAGAGAGAGCGTCCCTCCTCCTCCGCAGTTTGCAGTGTGTTATGTCTCATACTCGGAGGTAGAGAGTCAGAGCTGCTCGTCCGGCGGATCTCAACCTCTGAATCCAACCCCCGTGTCTTCTCTCATCCTTCCCCTCTCCCCTTCTCGCTCACCCGGGTTGCTTTCTCTCCGGAGCCGCGGGAGCTTCTACGTCTTCTTTCTCTCGACTTCGGCCAACAGTTTGCTCTTTTTGGATTTGGGTTTTTCTTCTTGGACGTTTTGATGAGTACTCGCTGCTGATTTCACTCAGCACTGCTCCTCGCTGCTGCCGCTGCCGCCGCTGCTGCTTCTGCCGCCGCTGCCGCTTTTACGCACCGACGCTTATTTTGGATTTGCTCGGCAGCACCGCTGGAGAAAAACAGAGAAAGACAATAAGAAGCATAAAGCGAGGTGGATCCGTGGATGCGCCCCTTTGGCTCACGCTGGAGATGGAAACGCTGATATTGTTATTTCATTCCCTGTGGATATTGCAATGCAACACTGTGAGCGCCGACTCCATCATTCACATCGGTAAGAACCGGCCGGGGCGCCTCTCCTGCTGCAGGCAGAGCCGTGCCCACGGCTCCACGCACGAAGGGAAATTTGCTGTTTTAAGTTGAGTCGCTGAAGAATTTCAGTGCTGAGTTTTCGGTGCCGATTTTCAGCCAGTCAGCCTCTTCTTCTCCGGCGAAAAGGGACTCGACCTCACAGCTGATTATCGTTCCGATCCGTGCCAGGGTAACGTGTAGGGAGGGGGGGGGGCTGTTGCATCCAGCCTCAGACCCACGCAGCGCAGACCTGCTAGAAGTGCCCGCAAAGTGTTGCGCCGCGCCATCCCACCACCCCTGCATCTCATCCACAACCCCTCCATCCTTCCCAGAGAAGGATGCGTAAAAAAACCCCCCAAATCTGAGGCTGGCAGGAGAATCTGACCCGACGTGGGTGTTTGGAGGGTTTAGTTTCACCCATCCGCCTCCCTCTCCCCTTCTTCCTCCTTCACCCCTCTCCCCACTCCCTCGCCTCCCCTCATCTATAAGCCTGAACTTTGAATTGGACGTGAGTGAAATGTTAATAAAGCGCTAGGGGAAGAGATGACAAAGGGGACAAACACCGACTGTTCGGGCTGTGAGCGCCGCTCTCTGCTCGTGCGTCCTTCTTGATATGATAATCCGGAGATTTTAGTCAAGACACTTTTTTTTCTTTCTGTTTTTAGTCGAAAGAATTGAGGGAGGATGCAGTGAAGTCAGTGAGAGGGGGAAGGCTGACACGCAAACTCACAGCAATCACGCACTTCTCACTTAAACTCCCCAGTTTGCACCAATTCCACTCAGAGGCTCCGCTCGGCCTTGAGGTGGTTGGATGCAGCACGCCTGCAAACCAGTTTAGAAAAGGAGACATTTCAAATATTAAATAAATAAATAAGAGTAATCAGGTCTCTCCTGCAGCTTCAGCCATCGAACAGGGCCGGCAGCAGCACTGCGGTGGCCTCATGGTTGGAGCCAGGAGAGGGAAGAGAGAGAGAAGCGGATGTGGTTGGAGGTTGTAGAAAGAGCAGGGGTTGGTGGTGGTCTTTCTGCGTGTGTGTGGTGGTGGTGTGTGTGTGTGTGTGTGTGTGTG